ATTTATGTGGAGATTAATGTTTTAAATATAACATTTTGAATACAGAAATATTAAATGATTTAAATAACTGAAATTATACTCTAAAAATGAAACAAAATCCGCCAGCAGGTGAATAATTCATTCAATTGATTTGTTCAAACTGCTGATTTATTCAGGAATGAAGCAAGTGACTGTCTTTATGAATGGGTAATCATGAATCACTGACTCACTAGATTCGTTCAAAACCGCACTTTCATTGAATGAATGAAACACCGTTGTGTTTGCTTTTAGAGATGCGCGGCGGCTGAGCTGTTGTTATATTTGGAACTATTTTCGTTAAAGAAATGGAGCAAAATCAGGCAGTACTTGTTTACTGAACTGTTGTATTGAATCAATATCACATTGGCAAACTCCCTTAATAATTATTAAAACCGGTCATTCTCCTTATCGCGATCTGTGAGCGCACAGAAAATGAGAGCGTGCGAGTGAGTTCTCAAGGATCTGTGGGCGCACAGAAAATGAGAGCGCATGAGTGAGTTCTCAAGACTCAAAAGCACGTGCAAATGATACGTCCCGTCATCTGTCATCGTGTTATAAGCACGGAACCTGCGGGAATGAGTACAATTGTAATTAATAGCCACAATCCCGGGCCGAAATTCAAGTCCTGCTTTGTGTTCTCTGCTAATAACCCGACTGTGAATGATGCGAGCGGCATCACTATGTTGTCACCAAGAAGCTGCAGCCGTGGCCGGGAATGATTTTTGGTGTGCCGGCAGAACAACAACAACAATGCGCTACATGTTTCTTTTCCCCTCATTATTTTTCCAATTGACGGAGATCAGTCGTAGCGATGGAAAACTTTAATCCCTGCATAAACAAAATTTATTTCAAATTTAATTAAGCACTTTCAAGGACCTATGTTTGTTTTCAAGTACTTTCCAGGCCTTGAATCCATATGTCTGAAATTCAAGTTTCACCAACAAAAAATAATTCCAAACAGTCACAGCACTGTTTTACGTCTCTGAGCAACCTGAAGGAATCAACCATTTAAATGATTCGGTTCAATGACTCTGTAGGTGTAGGTGACCTACTGGCGGTTTTAATTTCACATTCAAAATATCTTCATTTTTTAAATAATTTCAAACAGCAGTATTTAATGTTTTATGTTTAAAATATCAAAACATTATTTATGCATTTGTAACTGCAGTTTAAATCATTCCATGTCTCTCCGAGCTGCATTAAACGTGTGTAAATCACTGTGTAAATGCCACTTCAGATGCAACTTCTGCAAAGATGAATTTTGTTCATCCGATTTAATTTGTTTGGTAACAGCCTAAATGTCTTTTTATTAGGGATGCTCCGATCGATCGTCCAGAGATCGGTATCGGCCGATAATCACATTTCATGACTCGATCGGTACTCACTATTTGGCCGATCGCAATTTGATGACGTCAACGCCTGACCACGTACATGATACGTGGGGACGTAAATGATTTTAAGCCACAGCATTTCCACACCGGCGATGACATGACTATGATGTTTCGAGAAACAATGAAAAATTCGCTATTTGTCGTGTATGTTTTGCATGATGATGAATGG